CTAAGTACATCGGGATAACTCCAGCGCAACACGTGAGCAGGGTTCTGTCATGTGGAGATCTGGCAGGCTATCCGAGCCCCAAGTGTTTTGCCCCTCTCCCAGTGTCCCGAAGTAGACACTCTCCCTGCCGTATCACCTCAGGATGCTCCTTCCAGGAAGCTCTTCTTGCAGGGAACAGAAGTGTCGTATCAGAGCTGCCGTTCCACAGGGTCAGATGCACAGGTGCTTTCGTTCCTGGCGATCCACATCGGCTGCCAGAAAGCAGCATGGTACTCCTCTGCCATATCCAGCAATATCCAGGCCTGAAAGCATGACAGGCTGGCCTGTACACAGTGCTTCAGAAAAGAAAAGAAAAGAAAAGAAAAGAAAAGAAAAGAAAAGAAAAGAAAAGCATCACAATTCTGTAGCCAGCTAGCCCAAATTAGGCAAGAAAACGATGGAGTCCACAACTGGCAAAAATTAGGAATGTTAAACTTAGTTGCATGAGCTGCATAATTCTGTCATTTTAACTAGTATGCCAGGATACAGGACGACATGCCTCATAACAACTGAAAATTTGTTTTCGACTAAGTCTTAAGCTTTGAGAGTCTACCAGATAAACTTCCAAGTATATCTTTTCAACTATAGAGGCTAGAAACCTGAGATCCCAAAGAAGCTAAATTCTATTGTCAATACTGAAGGTATGGCTCTTCTACACCCCAAGTGATTCTGCAAACCTGGTGCTTGGGGAGTGAAAAATATCTAGCTAGGAGCAAAGGAAGCTGCTATCTGGCCAGCCATGCTGCTTGTTGGTCCTCAAGAAGTTCTGGAGAATTTCTGGGGCAAGTCTGCAATTTCTTTGGGAAGAGATAGCTCCTAGGCTTAGAGTGTTTTTCCAATGCAGCCTTCCCTCTGCATGACCACTAAATAGGAAAGATGGGTGTTGTAGTCCACCACATCTGAAACACACTGGGCTGGTGCCAGCTATTCTAATATCTCTGATAAGTTTACCAGTGTCCAAGGAGATTAAAAGTTGAGACAAGCAGTGTGCAGCTTCCGTCCATGCAGCAGAGCCCTAGACTCGCATCAGGTCACCAGGAAGGTGAACTCAGCTTCCCCAAGATTCTTCAACACACAGTTCTGTCTCTCTTCGAGCATATGGCTGTTTCAACCCAGGGCCCTCTCATGCCTAGTTTCTGCTGCCAATTTCTTCTATCAAAAAAACCTGCTGCTTTGGTTCCAGCCTTCCCCACCAGGATGTCCTCCAGATGTGTTTGGCTACAATGTCTTTCATTGTCATCCAGAGGAGAGTTGAAGTCCAATGCATGTGAAAGGCTCCATGTTAGGGAAGCCTGAATACATGTGCCCCTGCCCATTGCCTTCAGCCAAAGCAGGGCAGCTATGTCACCTCCCGATTCCAGGTGATTTTCCTCTTCTGAAAAAGCAAGAGTCTTCTGGCTCAAGGAACCATCTTCTAACCATTAGCTCCCATAGAGAGTTATCCTTTGTGGATCATTAAGATACATGATTGTTTCTGTCAAATCATTATCTACCCTACTGGAGGAATCCTCCTCTGAGGAATCAGAGCTCTTGGAGAGGGACGGTGGACGATTCCTCCATATTGGAAGACCCAGGACGGCTTGGCCTATCTGTATGCCAGGCTGGTGTTAGCACAGGAACACAGTCTGCCCCTCACCCAGAATGGGTTAGTTGTGATGGTAACTCACCTTCACAGAAGACAAAGCAAGGAAGAAGCACAGCGGTAGGGAACCTGATCCTCCAGATGTCTTGGAATACAGCTCCCATTGATCTTGCTGGCTGGGATGCAGTAATTTCAGGGCCAGGACACAGGTGATCCGGCTTCTACTGCCCACTCCGCCATGCGGCTCACTAGGCTCACTAGGCGACTTTAGGCTAGCCAAGCACTGTCAGACTAACTACGACCACACAAGGCTAATGCAAGGATCACATGGAGAGGAGCATTATGTAAAATGCCTTCCATCCTTGTAAGAGAAAAAAGGTAGGCTAGAAATACAAATACATAATAATAAAACACGTGGAGGATACCAGGTGGCCTCCCCTTTTGGAATTGTGTGTACTCAAACAACCTATCAAGCCCTGATGGTTGCCATTCCCAGATGCTTGAACAAGCAAATGTAAAAGATCCACTGAACATCCACGTCCTTCAATACCTTGGCTGAAAGTTGCTTCAGGAATATTCAGGACAGAAAGGGTCTGCTTCCAGACAAGGCTTTAATTGTGCAGTTGTTTCATGAAAGTTGGGGCTGGGAGCAGCAGGCAGGCTCCATTTGTGTCCCTTCTACATTTATTCTGTTGTTCTGTCTTTTTTTAACTGTCTTTCTACAGAGCATCCATTAAGCAGGGAAAGATGGAATAGCTGCAATCAATCCTTCAAGATGCTTCCATCTGAAAGTCCCAAGTAAGCTAGTCTCCTGATCCAGCTAGAAGATGGACTACCTGTATTTATGGTTTTTATAACGCATTCCGTTAGCCACATTAGCTATCAGAACAATTTACAAATTAAGTACCGTATTTTCCGCTCTATAAGACGCAATTTTTCCCCCTCAAAAGGGGAAATGTCTGTGCGTCTTATAGAGCGAATGTGTGTGTGCCCGATGCCCAGGACGCTGCCGGCCCGCCTGCACCACGTGGCACCACCTGGCCGGCACATGCTTGGCGTGCCCTGCTCCGCCCCCTGCTCTGGCGCAGTTGAGAGCTGTGCCGCTCAGGGGGAGTGGTGCGGAGGAGGAGGAGCCGCAGGCTTTAACCCGCCGGCCGCACGGAGAGACGGACTGCTCACCCCCACCGCCCAGGAAGACCTGCTGCCGCTGCTGCGCCGCCCAGAAGACCACTGCCGGCACGCTGCCGGCCCGGCTACACCACACCTGGCCACCACGCGCTCGGCGCGCCCTGCTCCGCCCCCCTCCTCCGGCGTAGGTGAGAGCTGTTAATCACAGGTCGGTGTGTGTTTTCAAATGGCAACCCGTCTTTTAATGAAGCCCATGGGGAAGTGATGGGGAATGTGCCTGTGATTATCAGGAAGCTTTCCATGGATCAGTTATCTGTTAGTTGATCAGACACATTTTTTTAAGGATCAGTGGATATTTGAACAGCATTACCTTCATGTATGAAGTTTATTCTTCAAAGGCTACTTAGGCCGCTGGGTGTTTGATTTACCGTATAATATCTCATTTTTTGTCAGAAGTTTTTTTCTATTATTTACTAGTAGGCAGCGTGAACATTACTGGCTTTTTTAGATTTGTTATTGAATTGTCTGCAGCAGCTCTTGTATAACTGGTGTAGATTGTGAATTCCTTCAATAATTCCACTACTGCCTAAGAAAGTGATGTCAGTGATTGTGAGCAACAGAGCTTCATAAATTCTGACTCTAGTGATGATGAGTTCTATGGGTTCAACGAACACTAGAAGAGTACTCAGACTTTAAAGTCTCTCTTTTGTTAATGACGGTGATGATGGTTCTTAATGCCACTGTTGACTGCTGTTCACTTTACAAGGTTGAAATACGGTATTACTGTATTCTGTTATAGTTTATTAAATAGTTTAGTAAATCATTTGATTCAGAATATTTTTTCTTGTTTTCCTCCTCTAAAAACTAGGTGCGTCTTATGGCCAGGTGCGTCTTATGGCCAGGTGCGTCTTATAGAGCGAAAAATACGGTAATCTAGTCGTTGCAATGTAGTTGTAATGGCCAGAGGAGTCAGCTCTGTGCAACCTTTTCGTAGATGTGTAGTGAGCCATACAGCCTAATTTGACCCTCCCTTCTGCACTTCATGGTAGGACGATGAACATGAGGTCACTGACTTCAAAGTTGAAGCAACACTTGTGTTTTTCTACTGTTTCCATCCCACTGTTTTGTGTAACATCTTGCCTGATGAAGAGTTTTGAAGATCTTGAAAGCTCATTTTTGGAGGTCTTTTGACCTAATCAAATACGAGATTCATACGGATTTTGGATTTTTTCTCTCAAAACAGCTTTCTTTGCTTTTTGTGTTACTTGGAGAATAGCTTCACTGAAGTTTCCATAACTACTGGAAGGGCTGATCTCGTTTGTATCAAAATAGAACCGTACAAGAGCTCAGCTCATCTACAGATTAAAGCAAGGGCACCATGTTATGCATTGAACGCTGGAATTGGGGGTGGGGGGATCCTGTCGAAACATGAATAGGATTGCACCCTTAAATGTTGCAAAACCTGAGCTGCTACAGCAAACAAGGGGCCCAGATAAGTCTTTGGTTGCTTTGCAAGTAAATTTAGATAAATGTAGGTCAACTGTTGGGCTTGCAAAGGTTGATGCATAAATGAGTGGAGGGGTGCGGAGGCTGAAATACTTGAAATAGAGTTCGGAGTGGCTATGAAAATACTAAGACCTGCCATTCCTAGGAATTTTGAGGCACAAGAATCAGAAAAACAGAAGGCAGGAAAATGAGAATAGGATAATTTTTGCATGACAAGCTGTTTTGCTTTGCACAGCACGTCTTTTCCTGTCGCTTACACCTACATGGGTGCAGTCTGGCTTTTGTGATGGTGCATCACCAAATGTCACTGCCTTTCTGTGCACATTTGGTGCATGATTTTCCTCACGCCATGTACGTGTCTACCTGAGATTGCTTGCCTAGCCTAATTTTATCTCCTACATACGCAGCTGTTTATTTCGGCCTCTTTGAGAACGTGGTGGTGAAATTAGCAAGCATCCTATCTCTTCTCTGGCTGCTTGTCTATTTCTCTCTGGATATCTCTGTGTGTATCTGCGCCCCATTAAGTGCAACACTGCGCACTTTTGTTTACACTCCCTGGTTGCACTTTTCCTCTGTGCCTTCCGGTCGCATCCCTGCGCTGTCGTCGGTCGGCTTTGCCCCTCCGTTTTATCTCGTTTCCGTCTGCGTGCAACTTGCTGGTCACGCTAACTAAAAGCGCCTCCGCAAGTTAGAGGCAGGGCCTTTGCCCCGCGACAGGGGCCCAGAGGGTATTGGGTTGCCCACTGTGGCAACTCGAACCCCGTCTGAATTATTGACGCTCCTCCTCCAAGAAGCGACTTCAATATCCCCCGGCCAAGGCGACCGCCTGCGCTTCACAGTCCCACTGTTCGCCCCCAGCGGAGCTCCTGGGCCCCGGAACTACCAAACCCATAATCCCCGGCGGCCCTGCCAGCCTCGTGCAGCTCTTCGGGAGCTGCAGTCTCGCCACTGCACTCTCGCTCCTTTACGAGCTGGAGACGAGCACTACAATTCCCAGCAACACCTGGGAGTCTCGCCTGCCTCCGCCTCCCCCAGCTGGCTTGAAGGCTGTTATTGTTGTTGCTAAAAGGTTAGTGGAACAGCTGGTTGCTCTCTGGGTAAGAGACGTCTTCTGTATTGGGTAGGGGGACTCTTTCTGCTTTTTCTCCTCCTCGCCCGCCTTTGCTGCTGCTTCTGCTTTGAAGGGATGGAAGGAGTGGATTGGGGGTGTATGAGGGATGATCTCCGTTCCCCCCTCTAGTTCTGGAGTATGCAATCACCTACACTTCTTGTCAGTGCTGTGAGCATAAACAAAAAAGCGGGGGGGGGGCGCGATTTGCATCGATTCTCGCTCTCTCCTCTCTTTAAAAAAAAAGTGGTCGGGAGTGGGGAAGGAAACTGTACCAAAGGCTTCCGCGGGCCTTCTGCTCTGAGCTTGCAGCACTAAAGGGACGAGGTCGGGGAGTGCAGGCAGACGAGTAACAATGCAATTCCATGCATATGTACTCGGAAGTAAGCTCGATTGTTTTCAACAGAGTTTTCTCCCAGGTGACTGTGTATAGGATTGCTGCTTAAGGAGATTGTTCTTTCCTGACTACTTCCACTTCTGATTCCCACCACCATTACCACGAATACACTTGGACACACGCTTCCAAACTCTGAGTTTTGAGGCACCAAAAATCTTCTCTTCCTCCTGAATGGGCCTGAGATGTTATGTAGCTAAGTTCCCCTTCCCTTTGCTGTGTCAGTCCTGCATATTATTTCTGCCTCTGGGGCCTACCCAAAAGCATAACAACAAGATGCGTGAGGTCTGTTTGAGAGCTGGCTTGTGGCTGGCTGGAGACAGAGAACATGACAGAGCTTGTGGTTTCTTGAAAACCTGGTTTCCTTTGTTTGGTTTCGAGCTGCTGAGTTCAAATGCAAGACTGAGAGGAGGGCACTTCTGCAGGAGAATCACAGCCTTTTCCAAAACAAGGTGGAGATGTAAGAGCTGCCTCATTTCCCAAAAAGCACGCGGTGTCACCACCCTCTTGCAAACCGGGATGGTGGGTTCCTTGTGTAAGCCTGGCACCAGGCCAGCAGAGATGCTCAGTCTTCTCCTTGATCCTTCCCATGTTTCTGCCTCTTACATGAACAGATCTGATTGCTAGTTTGTTTTGCTGTGCCCAGCACAGACATGCCCGGGCGCTTTCTGGGGCTCTGATTGGTGTTCTGCCTAGAGAAATGCAACCCAGTCGCTGCTTCCCCCCACCCTCCACCCCAGATGCTCCTGGAGAAGGGAATTTGGCCAGCAGGGCAGGGAGCTGCCAGGGCGTCATCAACCACATGGCTTGGCTCAGCCGCAGCCTGGGTCACACGGGGCATTTTGGGATAAGCTGCCTTGGCTCAGTCTGTAGATTCAAAGATATCCAGTACAAGGTTTTGTAACAGGCCTTTCCATGAGGAAAATATACAATGCGTGGGCCTTTTTACTTTAGCAAACGGCAGGTAAGGAGGACATGATAGGAGTGGGAAAACTCGGGATAGATTTTTCTTCCTGTCTTACATTATAGCCCAGTGAAGCTCAATGTTGAGAAATTCAGGACATAGAAAATGCTCTCCTTCACATGGCATAAAGTATGGAATAATTCACTACCAAAAGTGTGGTGGTCTCCAGCAATAGGCTTTAAAAGTGGGCTTTTGGAACAATTCATGGAGGACTGAACTATCCGTGGTTTCTAGTCCTGGTGGCCATATGTTGTCTACAAGTTTTGAGGCATGCTGCATTGCTGCCAAATGCAGTTGCTGGGTTAGATGGACTGGAGCTGCTCATGTGCTCTGAAGCCACCTTCCCCAGTCTGTGCCCTCCCAGGGTTTTGGACTACAGCTCCCATCACTCCTGCCAGGGACTGCAGGAGCAAAGAGGGTGGCAATTCTCTGTTTGCAGAGTAAGCTGCCTTTGGATATCTTACTCTGGTTCAATTTCGCCTTCATCACTGTGAGCTGTTGATAGCCGCATGGTCAAATGCTGTGCCTATAGTTGAAGAATAGTAACAACAAAAAGACCAACCTGCCTACCCTAAATTATGCAGCAGGGGCACAACAAGAGACTTTTTTGTGTAAAGGGGGCTGTGGACTCAGTTCTGAAACAAAACCAAATACCTGGGCTGAGCCCATGCTCAGAGGCATCCCAATTCTCTGCATTTCAGGCCCACCAACACCACTGTTTTGCACCTTGTTCCAGGTGTTGGACCTTGAAGTTCCAGCAGCAGAACAAAGTAGGTCCTGCAGGCCTGAAGTCCACCTGCTGTTGGCCACAAGAGCCTCCTCCAAGTCTGTGTTCTAAAAAGAAACGGCTCTTTTCTACTACCATGGAGGCTATACGCTTTAACCTGCCCAGCAACCCCCACCCCAAAAGCAAAGGCACTAAGAACACTTGTTGCAGTATGGCAAATTGCCACATTAGAGATCTTTGTTCCCCCAGTCTTCTGGGTTGTGGAAAGGAGGAGCATTAGAGATGGTTATGTAATCAGGAAGTGTGCTGGGTAGTTTCAGAGTCTTAAAGCCAAACTTGTTGTTGTGCATCTTGTATTCTTGTAAGAAAAAAAGCAAATAGCAACCTGCCGTCTGGGCTACATTTCAGTGTGGGCAACTAGGGCCTTATCCTGATGCCAAGGAAGGCTTCTCATCCTACCGTTCTCATGTTATGATGCCCTTGTGCTTGGGCCTCAGCTCAGCTGCATGTGGCTGAACTTGCTTTGTTTTATAGATAAGTTGCCCTTCAACTGGAGGTTGCTGGAAAAGCATTTTATTTCCAGTGAAGCAAACACACACACACTTAAACAGTAAAATTGCAAAAGTTGTAGGTCATAACCAGGTGGAAAAAGCTGACAAAGGGCATTGCAAACATTTCAAACCAGCTTGACAACATGGGCAAGCAACCAGCAGTCTCAGGCACCAAAATGACCTCAGCACTGGTACCCAGGGAGGTGCTCCGGAGAAAGCATTCCAAATCCATGAGGCACTTCAGCCAAGAAAGCCCTGTCTCTGGTTACCTTCCGCCTCACTTTGGCTGCTGCAGGGACTCAGAGGGCCTCTGAGGGCAGATTGTAAGTGACAGGCAGGTTTGGGTGGGAAGAACCAGCCTGCTCTGCCCAGAGCTTCAGAATGCCACCCATCAACAACTGACACTCAAAGAAAATTTCTGCTGCTTGTTTCCTTAAATTAATTTGGCAGCTTTCAGGCATTGCCCAGGGCATCCTTTCCCTGTTGACTGGAGTGCTGAGAAAAGCCTACTCATCTGCCATAGAACCCCCTAAGCTTTGCAAAGGATTCTGGGATGGCCTCTGAGGGTACATGGCGGGGGTGCTGGTTCAGCCCATTGGATCCAGCTGCTGATGCTCCCTCCCCACACAAATGGCATGTGCCACGGAATTCATCTCACCTCCACCTTCTTCATGAAGAACCCACTATAGACTTCACTAAGGAAGTCCAGGGTTGCGCATTCCCAAGGAAAGCCCTGGGTTCCTTTCAGAGTTTTGTGTGTTTGAAAAAATGGTGTATAAGTTGAGGTACAGAACTGAAGTTAAGGAGCTGTAGCCTTCCAGATGCTAAATGCCAACTCCTGGGGCAGATGGATATTGTAGTCCAAAACCCTCTGGAGGGCCATAGGCTCCTGATCCCTTATGTAGAACAAGTTATACTTGTCTGGGTTAACTTTCTCCCCTCTGGACAGCCGGATCCTATGGCTGTGCTGTCGCCCTTCAAGATGAAGTGGACATGAATAGATAGGATTGTGGAGAGGATGACACACTATGGAAGTTACAGCAAGATGTTGCACCAAATTCATTGCTGATTTTCAAGTGCAATTTCGGGCAAACCATGAAATCCAATTTCATTTCAGCCATTAAAGCCCCCTGGGCCTCCAACTTGGCTGTGAGCTGTAGCCAAGTGGTTCAGATTCCTTCCCCATCATCTGTGAAACCTGCTGTGTGGCCTTGGGGGAAATCTCTCCCTTGGCCCATCCTTCCCCTCTCTGGGTGAGGCTGGGGTGGCGTGCAGTGAAGATCCCCACACAGTGAAGGTGCTACAGCAATGGTTGCCCCCAATTATACATGTGACAGCTGAGTCACGATCAGGCGGTAAACCTGTCTGGGTGTGGTCACCCTCCCCTCTTCCCACAACTTTGCACTGTGTAGAATATTGTCATCCATCTGAGGAAGGATGCCTTTCTCTCAGCCCGCCTGTGCCCAGCACTAGTTTACCTCTGGGATTCTACATCCAGAATCCTGTGCAGAATCCAGGACTCCATGCAAAAAGTGGAATCCAGAGGATTCCATCTGCTGTATCATCTCCTCCCAAAAGACCTTCACGGTAGCACCTCTCCCACCTTCCCTTCAAGTCCCCGCAACCCCAAAGCGAAGTGCCATCTCTTCTACCATGCCTTTGGCTTCATCTCACAGCCCACCTCCTGCCTGAAAGGAAGAGTTGCAAACGGCAGGCGAGGATGCGAACAGAATCCTTGCCTGTACTTTCCCACCCGTCTCTTCGCACACTCTTACGCTATAGGTTATTGCTACCCTGAGGCAGAGACTTGTGCGGTTAAAGAAGTAGATAGATAGAGCGTATAAAAAATGCAAACCTGTGCAAACCGATGGTGCGGCATAAATAAAGCATAATAATGAATAATTGAGTGGTTCTCATGGCTGGGGAAATACAATCTGCAGAAGATTAAGGAGGTGCTAGTTCTGTGTCCTGCGTGGCAGCTTCCTTCCTGCACAGCCTGTATGCGCGTTGCTTATTCAGATCTCCTTTCCTGCCCATAGGCCGCACCTTGCCAAAACTTTCCTGGATTATCCAGAAGCGGGTGGGGGGGGGGGGGGACACTTGACTTTCAGTTTTAGAGTGAAGTCCATGGGTCAGGTCCATGGGTCCATGAAGCATATTTTATTGATTTGCCCAGGCTTGACCCACCAAAGCGGAGGCATTCTGCAAGCATGACATCCAAATGTAGAAACAGAAGTGCAGCACGACATTCTGTGTCCTGAGAATTGTGATGGTGGTGTTTTTAAGCGAGTGTCTCTGGAAACCAGATCTTTGTACCGTCAGCATAATGTCTCTGCCAAAGAAAAGACTGGCCTCAGCCTGAAGGAGCTTACAAACTAGATTTCAACAGAGGCGACCTCTTGAGAAGAGCTGGAGGGTATGGGGCGGGGGGAGGAAAGAGAGAGCAAGATTCAGAAAGGATGCACATGAGCAGATGCAGTTTTCACACATATGGAGGTTGAGTTTCTATTTAAGGTGAAGACAGGAAAGGCTTGTAAGTGTGTGGGCAATGCCTTGTGAAAGGTTAAGATGGACAGGTGGCAAAAGCAAGCCTCCACAGAGAGCCAGCACACAGAGAGAGCTGGTGCCCTAGCTGAAATCCAATAAATGCTGTGAAAGAGAATTAGAAATACATCCACATTTGGCACGCGGCCCTTCAAAAGTCACTGAACTCGGCTTTTCTTGCTGCAGAAAGTTGAGCGCAACCTTCTGCTTGGCCCCAGAGGCCTGCCTGAAGCTTCCTCGTGCTGAATTAGGCCTGTGGCTCCATGTGCCCCGAATGGCCCATGTTGGCAGGCAGTGGCTCGTGGGTGACAAACATCCTTTCCCAGCACTGTTACCCAAAAGCCTTTCATGGGGTGGTGGTGCGACTGACCCATCTGCCTGTAAGGCACACATGCTTTTTCCCTGGCCCCTGCTGTTGATCGTGGCTCAGACCAGCATGCGCCGTGTGCCCATCAAGACAGTGCCAGCTTGTCCGGACAGCAGAGCTCGCTTGGCACCAGCACACCCCACGCTGCAGTTCTTGCCCTGCTGACCAGCCGCCTTCTCTTTGCCTTGCAGCCCAAGCTACCAAGATGGAAGAGGGGCAGTCCCATCCTGGTGTGGCTTTCCTAAATGTGGCCTCAAGTTACGTGCCCCACACCAAAGTGGAGTGTTACTATACCCTCCCATCTGGCCTGAAGCCCTCACCCAGAGATTGGATTGGGATCTTTAAGGTATTACAAAGGGGGCGCGGGAGCGGCAGCAAGTGTGTTTGGGGCAGAATGATGGAGACTTTGGGTTTGTCAACTGCTGCTCCATCTTTCAACAGGGCGGACAGCTCATGGCCCTCCAGAGGATGGACTGCAATTTCCATCAGCCCTAGCCAGCATAGCCAGTGGTGATGGATGATGGGAGCTGCAGGCCAGTAACTCCTGAGAGGCCAGAATGACAAACCTCTGCAATTTCCCTCAACAATTATTTCTGTCACTGATCATTGTGATGCTGTTCATTTCCAAAGGCTATTAACGACGCCCTTGGTCCACATTGACCAGGCCCCATCCATACATGCATGGGTGTCTCTACGGGTATCTCTGTGGGGCAGAGGGTCATCCAATTAAAAATGCTTTTCTGTATTATGGAAAAAACAATTAAAAATCTCATGTAGTGAGAAGCTGACTGTGTCTTAATAATATTCCAATGCTTTCTTTTTTATTGCAGTAGGTCTTATGTATAGAACAGAAATAAAAATAGTGGTTCTAGAGATGAGAAAGAGGGGAAAACAGAAAAGGGGTACAGACAAATGTGGAAAAACTTGGAATCTGGAGGAAATGTGGGGGGAAAAACTTTTTTTAAGCATGTTTTCATCCCCCTCCCCATTTTTTTCCAAAGCTTCAAATTGCTGTACATCCCACTGTCCCCTACCACTTTTATGCCCACTCATTGATATTTATTCCCATCTTTTACAGAGTCCACCCAAGGTAGTAGTGGGGGAGATGGGGAGACACACAGAAGTAGCAGAGGGCGATAAGGAGTAAGCTGGCAGTTACATGGCACACTCAGTGGGAATTGAAGCTTCAGGATCTAATCAAGTGTTATTTCCATTCGCTGTAACCACGTCATCAGCATCACCGCCACCACATTACATTGCATCGCTATCCTGCCTTTTTTCCACTTGTGAGGCACCCAAGGTGACTTCCATAGCTACGTTTGGTCCTCACAACAACTCTGTGAGGTAGGTTAGGCTGAAAGGGGGTGGCTGGCCCAAAGTCACCAGGGAGCATTATGGTGGAATGGGGACTAGAGCCTGGATCTCTTGCGTCCCCCGTCCAACACTCTGACCTCCACACCACACTGGTTTTTGATGTATTTATTTATTTTCATTAGATTTATATCCCACCGTTTTTGTTTTTTTTACAAAGAACTCCTCCTGCTGCTCTCAATCTTATCCCCACAACAACAACCCTGTGAGGTAGGTTAGGCTGAAAAGGAATGACTGGCCCAAAGTTAACCAGTGAGCTTCATAAGCAAGTGGGGACTACACCTGAATCTCCCAGGTCCGACTCCGACATGCTAGCCATAACCCCACACTGTACCTGCTACATCACACCTGTTCTTTAGCCACGTCACTTATGTGAGGTGAAACCTACTTCGAGTAATCACTGTGGCCTGCTCCACAATTACAGCAGACCGAGGAGTCATTGAATCACGGAAGGTTAGATTTAGACATGTCATCTCGTCCAATTTCCAGCTCAGTGCAAGCGCAGCATTCCTGACAGGTGCCTGCCCACCTCTTAAATAGCTTCAGTGAAGGAAGACCTACCATCTCCCAAAGCAGCCTGTTGGGAACTTTCTCCTACTATTTAGCTGAAATCCACTTTCTTGCCCTTTCCATCCAATTGGTTCTAGCTAGACACATTGGAGCAACAGAGAACAAATCTATCCCACTTTCTGCATAGAAGCCTTTCAAAAATTTGAAGGACCCTATCATGTCTCCCTATAGTCTTCTCTTCTCCAGGCTAACGTGTTTCCATATGCCTTCAACTGTCCTGGCCACCCTTCTCTGGCCATGGTCCAGCTTGGCATTGTCCTTGGAACTAGACTGAATACTCCCAAGGTGGTAGGATTGACTGATTATTTCAGTCTGCAGGGGGGAAGATCAGGGGCTTGACATTCCCACGTTCATATTAAAAAAAGGTTCTTGCATGTAGAAAATAAAACCTCCCTGCAAGCAGAAAACTAGAAAATAAGCTGAGCTAGAACCTTTCTCCTTGAGCTGCTAATTTTCTGGCCACTGAGATTTTATATGAATTATATAAACATGTGAATTGCCTATATGGGGAGTGGTACCATGCCCTGAAGTCGAAAAGGGTTCAACCCAGACAGACATCTCATTCTGTCATGTATAGAGATCAGGCCTAAAAGAGGGTTTGTTGGAATCTGTGGACAAGCCTGATCTTGAGACTCAAACAAGCAATCCGGGTTGTGTTCCTTGCGGCCGACCCTGCCTGCTGCCCCACTGCAGCTCCTGCCAGGCTTAGAACGGGGGCAGCAAAGATGGATGAGTATTCCTGATAGCCCTTTTCTTCCCAAACCAAACCCCCCCAGCCCTGCATCCCTTCCAGCGGTGCCTCAGGAGACCAGCAGAGATGCACATGACTCTGATATTCTCTTCCTGTTTCCTCTCCAAGGTGGAAGCTTCCTCAGTGCGTGATTATTACACCTTTGTGTGGTGCACAGTGCCAGATGGCGGAGCTTCGGCAAGAGCCCTTCTTCACTGTAGTGTGCAGTTCCAAGGTGTGTGTATAAAATCATACGGTCCTCAGCAGGATAATCAGGCTTAGCTGTTGGATAGCATTTGAACTGAGGTTTTCTGTCCAAGTTGGAAAGGTTCATTCCCAGGAAATGGAGAACACAACAGGAAGGAGGAGACGGGTGGGCAGCCGTCGATTTTGCCGCAGCTGGCCTGAGCAACTTTCTTGGCCAGTGCTTCAACCCCGTAAGAGGTGTCTGAGTGTGCAAATTTGCACGCACAAACTTCTTATACCAGCCTTCCTGACTGGGTGCCCTCCAGATATTTTGGATGGCAACTTCCAGCATTCCTGGTCATTGGCAGTGTTGGCTGGGGATGATAGGGACAGTTGTCTTATGCTAAGCACATAAGTGAAATCAAGCTTTGAATCTACCTGCAAGCATTTCCTACAGCCATGAGCTCAGCTGCTGCGATAGCAAGGAACATCCATGGGCATTGTAGCCACTGATGGAATGCTGACTTTTATTTGTTTATTTTAAGAACTGATACTCCACTTTTCTTTACAAAATAAATTCCAAGTGTTTTCCAAAAAGGGTCATGAGATACATAAAACATAATAAAAACTGCTCAAATTACTCAAATTAATTTCATGCAGTACAAGCAAGAGCAAGATAAAACAATTCATCATAAAAGCAAGGAGCCAGCACATTAATGTAACAGTGAAAGCCCTGGGAAATGAAAAACCTCCTAGCAGCTTGCCTGCAGCATAAAAGGGACAGCCAGCTGAAATCAAGAGCCTAATTTCTTGACTTTGGTTTTCCTTTTATGTTCGGTGTAAACATTTTTTATTTCCTTAAGCCTCATATATAAACGGCTATGAGATATAAGGCAAACGCCTGTGTTCCATTTACAGCCAGCTACCTGCCTAAGCCAGGACCCCAGCAATACCAGTTCCGTTATGTGGATCGCCATGGAGAGGTGCGTGGTCAAAGCCCTCCTTTCCAGTTCAGCGAGCCACAGCCCATGGATGAGCTTGTCACCCTGGAGGAAGCCAGTGATGACAATGGGGACACCGACATGTTGCTAGTGGTTCCCAAGGCCACTCTGCTAGAGGTAAGGTGCTCAAAGCAACGTCCTGCAGCTCAGTAGCTCCCATTTTAAGCCACTAATCCTGGCTAAGGCTATGCCACATGTATTCTGATGGTTCAGCATGAGTTTGAAACAGAGGTGCAGAGACTGCGGCCCTCCAGATATTGTGGGGAACATCGTTAGCCTTTCTGGCAGGGAATGATGGGACTTGCAATCTAAAAAAAAAAATCTGGAGAGCTTGCCCCCATCTCATGTCCCTTTCCCCTTACTGTCTCCTTCCTTTTCATGCTGGTTCTTGTGTTTTCTGCCTCATCACTTTGCTAGCATTGTCCCAGCCCAGAAACACATGGGTGCACTTAACCATGAAGCGCTCTGAATAACCAGCCTTGGACCAGCTCCTAAGTCCAGCTTATTTCATTAGATTGCTGTGAGGATGAACTGGAAGGCAAGTCCTTCATATACCTCTCTAAATGCCTTGGGGAACAAATGTGACAAAAATGAGGGTGATGGAAATTCTCTGCGCCTTGCAACAGCATTCGTGGTGATTTCTGATCATTCTCTCATGCCTGCCTTGTCTGTAGATTATATTAGGCTCTTGAAGCAAAAAGAACAAAGGCTGCTATGGTACCTTAAAGACTAACAAATTTATTCTAGCATTAGCTTTCTCAGACAGTGTCGACTTCATCAGATATATGAAGTGTTACCTTCAAACTGGCAGATTTATATGCGCATGGTTCAGGGGTGGGAGCAGAAACATCAGAGGAAACTGAAATGCAAAAAAGTAGAGAGTGTGATGAATTCAAGTGTGATTGTGCTCAGTGGAAGAATATAATGCTTGTGACCTCTGAGTTCACATCGTATTTCCATTCGCTTTCTCCACTCCACTCCACTCCACTCCACTCCACTCCACTCCACTCCACCTCAGCCCTTCAAGTGCGCAGAAATCATGCAGGTAGAAGTTGAGGTGCAAACCAGGAGCCTAGTGAACTGGGAGGCCGAGTTTCAGGCCTTACCCTACCGAGCTAGGCAGGACGTGCAAAGTTAGGCATGGGAAAATGGTGGCCCCTAGAAGAGTTGGGTTCTTCCAACCCCCATCAGCCCTAGACAGCATGGTTGGGGGATGGTGGGGGTTGCAATCCACGAGTATCTGGAGGCCCACAGATTTTCCACCTCACTTGTATAATTATACATGTGTTTAGATGTATATTGCACCCAGTCGCTGAAACTCTTGATCTGCCACATTGTGCTCAGCTGATACCCCAGTGCCTTCCTGCACACCCAGCAAAATATATGGGCACATGCGATTCACAGTCTGTGAATGGCTAGCTTGGTAGAAATGCTAGAAGCTCGGCCTTCTCCTTTTGCTGGCTCAGTGCAGCAGGACCTCTCCCCTGCGACTCGGGCTTCTGCTTCAGATCTAGTTATTGATTTGCAAAGAACTGGAGAATACTTGCTCCAGGCCTTAGACCAACTATGGGTTCCTGGAGCCATGGCTTGGCTTTGACTTATTAATCTTATTTATTTACATATTATATTAATATGCTACCCTATAGCCCGAGGGCTCTCTGGGTGGCTTACAAAAAGAACCATAAGCAACCAGCATAAGAATTAAAACTATAAAATCAGCTGAGCAAAAATAATCCAAAGTAATTTACCAGACAGGAAAACATAATAAACAGGCAACAAAAATAGTGGAATAAAACCAGTGTAGCTAGTAAAAACAAGTGTTGAATTAAAAAAGAGTCCAAACCAGATGACGAAGACTAAATCTTAAAGGTACCAAGCGCATTTCTGTAGGGAAGCATTCCACAAGCGGGGCCACGATGGAGAAAGCCCTTCTCCCAGCCATTCCTGTAGGCCTGTACCATATTTGACTGTAGGTGGAGAATTGCATGTTTGAATCTGCCCATGGAGCCCGAATACATCTGAGGAAAGACTAAGCTGAAGCTCTTCCCCTGATATCCTCGCTTACCATTTGCAGGGTTGCTGCGGGGTGGAATTAAATCAAATGGGGGAGCACTCAGCTATTCAACCTCTGAAGTGCTACAGCCTCAAAGGGCTGCATCATGTGCTGTTTCTTCTGAACAAGCTTAACATTACAGTCTTATCATAGCAATGCAGGAACAACAAGATTTTGTTCCATACCAAAGCGCACCTGCTGAATTTGTTCCCTGGCTTTTGTCATCCCCTTTTTGGCACCTCTCCCCTCCTCTCACAGACTCAGCTGGAGGAGAGTCGTCAGGAGCAAGGGGCCCTGTTGCAGGAGTCGTGCCGCTTGAAGGAGGAGGTTCAAGAGCTACGGAGCCGCATCGCTGAGCTAGAAGAGGTGCTCAGCTCCCTGCGTGATGAGCATTCCAAGCTGGCTGCGCAATACAAGGCAAGAGACGGCAAGGATCTGGGCGGGGGCAAGTGTGCTGCTTTCTCCCACTGTGAGGCTCATTTGAGGATGGATGCCTCCCTCAGGGGGCTGAGGTGGCCAGGTAACCTCCTCTCCAGCCTGAACCAAATGGAAATGCAAAATCCAGGTGTCACAGCTTAGCCACAAGCCACAGAGCAAATCCAGCCCTCCTGGGATACAGGGAGTAAGTTAAAATATGCTATTCTCCTTAGTACTTTGGTCCCTTCCCCCCTTTGCCTCCAGCCCTTCTCTTGGATTCAACCCCCCAAAAAGTTTCTCCAAAATAGAATTTGGCCCACAGGCGGAAAGCCATTCAACACCCCTAAGCAATCAGGATGCTCTTGACCCTTTCTAGAGACTAGTGACTTCCCCAACATCTGCTTATATTGCACTGGCTTGGGGAATGGTTGCTTTATTTATTAAAATTCCCACACTGCTCTGCAAGTACTTTATCAGAGTGGCTGCCAATAAAATATTTTAAATAAAGCAGCATAAAATAACGAAACCAGGCCAAAACCAGCAGATTTGTAAAAGAAACATGAGTCATATGTAAACGACCTAGGGAAAATAGATCAACAAAAGTTATAACGCCTGGCAATGTTTTCTTAAAAGGTCCTTGCTTGGCAAAGATATCCTACTGATCCTGCACAAGCTTCTCTGGGTGTTTTCCAAAGCCACTGAAAAGCCCCCCTTGCCAGAAGCTCACTGCAACACCTCTGACAGGGAAAGATCAACGCTTGGAAATAGTTCAGTTGGTCTGGCAGAGGCCATCTGCCTTTGCCCTCCTGATGCCCACACTATTGGCTGTTTCCCAACCCCTTTCCCCACAAACTCATGAGTTTGTTTCCTTCTTGGATTGGTCAGAGGGTTGAGCACAGCCTATCAGGGACCCACAGGATGGTGAAATGACCCCATCCAGCCAATTCCATTCACCATCCAGCCAATTCAATCGCAAGCTCATGTCTCTGAAGAGGAAGGAAATAAAAATACAAACTGCTGGCAGAAGTTTACACAAATAAGCATACACACCCAAATTGCGCTAAAAAGTCATTGAAAGAAGGACTACCCTTCAGAGTAAGGTTCAAGTTGCTTGTCAGAAGCAAGAGGAATTTCTGGGGTGGCATGTACAGCCTCAGGCGCGAACTGTACTTACAGGCTCTGTTTGCTCCCTGTGCTTGGAGTGACAAGAGTTTGTATCATACACATGAGTTGTTAGCAGTTTTAATTGCTGGAAGTTTCACATGCTATGAAGGTTGTTCACGTCTCTGTCTCTTTCCTCCCGCACCAGGAATTGTCAAGTTGTTTAGCGGAAGTGTCCAAGCAGAAAGAGACTCTCAGCCTCCAAGAAACTATGCATTTGGCACGAATCCAGCAACTGGAAGGTGATATCCAGGCCATGGGTGAGAAGATGCTCCAGAGAGAGACAGAACTAGACAGGTGAGGCTTGTGGCTGCAGAGCCCCACCAAGTATCACTGGGAAAGGCCTTGTGGCGAGGTCAAGGCTCTGTCCTAGACTTCCTTAACCTGATGTGTTGGATTGCAACCCCCATCATCCCCATCCATCAGTGATGGTGTATAGCCCAGCATTAACTGGAGGGCACCTGGATGGGGAAGGTGCTACATCTTATTTACACACACACACATTAATAGTGTGATTCCTTATGCAGCCAAAATGCCATGCTCAGGAGAGAGGCATTGCCAATCTCAACCCTTTAGAATGAGGGGAAATGCACAAAAGCCAAGACACCAAGACATTGTAGGCAACTGGGAGAAAGTGCCAGGGGAAGCAAAGACCGCCATCTGACTGGACCCCAAGCATGCTGGATTGGGCCTTGGGAGGGGGTTCTGCCCCCATGTTGTGAAGGCCCTTATCCTGAGAGGTGAAGTCTCGTCTGTCGACAGTTCCACCATGCTTCAGCCACGTCCTCTTGGCAGCCAGCTGGGGAAGATGGTTGCAAGGCTCAGGAGAGCTGCACATCCCACCCACGGCTGTGTCACGGTGACCCTCTGTGCAATACAATCCCCACCCCTGCACGCCTGCCCCCCGACATAACAGTTGCACCGTCATTGATGACCACTTGAGTACGGGAGCCTTCACTCTCACGGGAGGTCGCCAAGGACAACCTGCAGCCTCCAATCTGTGTCTTAAAGAGGTTCACACATTGTGGGGAGGCGAGTTCCGTCTTGTTCTTAGCACTGATTGTCTCTGTTCATCCTCAGTGATTTTGCTTGGGAAATGCCACTCACAGACCGTGACCAGTTATGAGTGACTACCACAGCCATGCCTCCACGGTGGCCATTTTGTGGCCTTCTGTTCATTACACAGTGGCCTTTTGCAGCCTGCTGTGCTGCATGGTGGCCACTGGGTGACTGGTGCCCACCATTTCTCAGGACCTTCTCCATGCGTGGCCACAGGCCCTACCCTAGCTTTTGCTCGTTCTTGAGGCTAATGAAGCTCCGCCAAGATAATTCCTTAGAGCAAGGCCTAGCACATTTCTGGAGGTGTGCTGCTGTACTTGGGAGGACACCGTGGCTGAAGCAAAGGGCTTCCCCAAACCATTGTCTAGTGGTATTGCTTGGCTGACAAAGAGCTGGGCCTCTAGATCCCAGGATCATGTGCACAGACTCCCCTTTTGACCACAGGGCAAAGGACACGGTCAAGTCACTGCTGCGCGAACAGGAGCAAATTCACCATCAGCTCAAAGAGGAGAATGCAGAGAAAGAGCAGTTCCAGGTAATCAGGGAGAAGGCAGGGTTTTGTCGACGTGTGGGCAGATGAGGAGGGGGTACAACAAGCCCCCATGTGGTGACCCCCTCCCTCGCTCCCCTTCAGGTCAAGCTGCAGGCCTCCGAGGAGGAAAGCCGCAGCCTGGCCTCGGATCTGCAGGAAGCCAAGACCCTCCACGTCGAGAGGCTTTCCCAGACCCTGGTGCTGCAGGAGGACATCAACAAGCTGCAGCAGAAGCTGGCCACCGCTAATCGCCGCACAGTAAGTCCTCAGCTCCAGGCCCCCAGTGGCCTCAGGCCCAGGCACCAAATCTGGCCCTCCTACAGTCCCAGTCGGGGGATGCCCAGAAGATCTCCCATGGTCCTTCTGGCTTAAGCCCCAGCAGGAAAGGAGGCAGCACAGCCATGCTTGAGAGAAAGCAGGTCCGGGAGCCAGGACTTCAGGGTGCCATCTCCATCCAGTTCTGAAAAAGAAGCAAGGTGGAGCATTCAGGCCCCAGGTTGCAACACTTCACTGGCCAAAACCCCATATTGATTTTGCCCAGGGCGAAAATGCCTTCGCTCTGTGGTACAGAAAGTTTCCCCCCATTTGAATTCTAATGGGAAGAAAGACATGCCAAGATGCAATAACTTTTTAAAAAGGCTATACTTCACTATTACATCTCTCTTTATTAACATACGTGGTGTGTTCATAATGTGCCCCATAGCTGAGAAGTCCACACTACAGGATCATAACCAATTCCTCTTCCAATCCCAGTATCTAGGGAGCAGAGTGGGTGGCATCTTTATTCTCACTGGTGGGAAAGATCATGGCTGGGAGCCTTGGCTTTGCGAGAGCCAGATGGCCACGGAGAGAGAATCAGAGGAACCCATAGCCCTTGTGAGCTCCCAGCATCCCCGATGTCTGGCCAGGGTGGGAGTTGTCAGGCAGTCGGGGGCCCAATTTCCAGCTCCTGGACTACTCCAGGCTGTATATGAAGCTGCAATGACAGCTCACCCCCTCAAACTTTGTGGTTTGCCACTAAAATTTGGTGGCAAACCAGTACAGAGCCTCAGGCCAAAAGTAGCTAGAAAGCAAGTTAATTTAGGCCTTGGTAAAGCTCCATAGTCAAATTCAGTGACATGGTAGCAGAGGCTGTGGAAAAGGACCCACCACGGCCCCTGCCCATCATAAGGCCTCGTGGGAAGGCCTCCACATGCCTCCTCCATACACCCCTTGCACCATTCGGCCCACGACTTCTCTGGCCCTCCCTCTTCCCAGGCACAGATGGAGTCCTTGTGCGAACAGCTGCGCTCCACCCAGGATGTCCTGGCTGCCAGCCAGCAGAAGGTGGCCCTCTTAGGGGAAGAGCTGGCCAGCGTGGCCTCCATCCGGGACCACACCATTTCCGACCTGCACAAGAGCCGCCTCGAGGCAGCCGAGATAAACATCAAGCTCGCTGACATGACCCTGAAGTGGAAAGAAGGCAAGGGCCAGTGGTGGAAGGAGAAGGCCACGCTGCTGCAAAATGTGGAGGTGTGTGGGATGCACTGGGGTGAGCGGGTGCGCATGCTTGCACACCCAGACCAGCCGCTGGTCCCGCTTCACATTCCACTCCTGCTTCCTGTGGTGCAGCCCCTCCATCTCTGCGCCTGCTCCGGATGCTCCTGTGTGTGTGCGGAGGGATTCAGCCACAGCAGAGGAAGCGAAGGGAAGTCGCGTATGCTGGAGCAATATGATAACGAATCATCGGGTCTTTATGCGGGATGCAATTAAAGTACAGAGGAAATTCTTCAGCCGGTTTTGCATGCGGCAAGAGTGGGTTTCCCATTTGGATGATGGATGCTAGCTGCTCTTGTCAGTGTGTGAATAGCTAGGTTTTGATGACAAGGCTTAATGTCGGAGGGTGTGGGCTTTGTCCTTTCTTTAAAAAGAACTCGTTCTGCATTTTAAATCACGAAAACAAACTTCCTGGATAATATTTTAGGGTCACAATTAGGAGCACAGAGATATGGACAAACATTTCCTGTTGTACTTCACTGGGTCCTCTGATACAGGATCACCGATACTAAACATTATTTGTAGGGAATGGATGGGAAGGAAATGCTGTCCTTTCCCATTTTAGCTGTAGAAATCATCCTTCAGATTCAAATTCTGGACTTTTGCTGAGTGCTTGAAAGTAACATCAACACAACTGCAGGCTTTCAGCTTCCCTGCCCTGCGTCATTTTCCCCGCTGCTTAATGCCAGGTGTGTCTCATGCTACCTGCCCGCTGACTGCTGAGCTCTGACATGACAGATTGCACCGCGCTGCACTAACCATTAACACAACCCTGTGCTCTTGGCAGGCAGAGAAGGACAAGATCCTGAAGCTGAGTGCCGAGGTGCTGCGCCTTGAGAAGAACCTGCAAGAAGAGCGGGCACAGCGCCAGGTGCTGCACAGTGAGTTGGCGCAAGAGCGTGACTCCAGCCTGGTAAGTCGAGGGCAAGGGGATCCTGTTGCTCCAGGCAGGAGAAAAATGAAGTCCCCTTTGGACTTCTGATTTCCTTCCATGCCTCTCCCAGCAATGAAGATGACTTGCATGCTTGTCTGTTAATACCACCAAAGAATAAAGGCATTCTGCTGTTGCCGTGAGGATGGGTTGCAAGACAGCCTTTCCCCTGCCTGTTCCCTCAGACGATGATGGTTGCCAGCATAGATTTTGAAGCCAAGTGGCCACAGGCACGGAGGATGGCTACAGACGAGCGTCAGTGTCTACCGGCCAAGGATAAGGGAGGCCTGTAACAAAAAGTTGCAGCGTGGGATGCTGCAGTTCAGGGTTTCGGCCAGTGTGCTCTGTTCCTTTGCCCCCTTTCTATCTGTTTCTCCAGCACCACCCCTCAACAGCCATTCAGAATTGTTTTGTGTTGAGTAGACCCAATCCTCAGTTAGTGGGCCGCTTTAGATGGGGGATTCCCTTTAAAGATGCCATGTTCTTGGTTTCCAGGCCTGCTGCTCCCTCTCCTTTGGGTATTGGTGGTGCCATTTTTGCTATGTAAGCAATAGCACTTGTGGCTTGAACATCATAAATAGAGGGAATGCTGAGGAGTTACTGAAGAAGCAATCTGGCTCCCAGAGGACCAGAAGCGGAGGGCAACCATCAGGCCCTGCTGTTGAGCTCTTAAGCCCATCTCTCCGGCCACAGACTCTCACTTTTGCCCCCTCAGGTGCAGGTGTCTGAAAACCGCCGAGAGTTACGCGAGCTTCGCGCTGCACTGCAAGTTGCCCAGAAGGAGAAGGAGCAGTTGCAGGCTGAAAAGCAGGTCAGTGCAGTGTTGCAGGGAGGGGAGTCCGAAAGGAACAGCCACAGGGAAGTGCATGTTTGGGATTAGGGAAGAAATGGCCATGGACGGCTGTGGGGAATGCAAGGGGAGGAATTTTGTGGGGCTACAGATGGTATCAAGAACAGCTGTGTTGTTCTGCAGGTCCCATAAATCCAAAATATTGGCCATGAAGCTGATGGGAGATGCTCTCCCAAAGATCTGTAGGGCACAAGGTCTCCTGCCTCTGGTCTAGAGTGCTGTGTTCTCTCTCCCCCACCTTCCTGCTGGGACCCGGTGCTGACTTCTTCCCTGTCCCTTGCCTTCAGGAGCTGCTGGTGTATGTGCGGCGCCTTGAAGAGCGCCTAGAGAAGGTAGCTGATGAGAAATGGAGTGAATCAGTTCTGGTGGATGAAGAGACAGTCCTGGACACCCCTGGTCAGTCCCCAGCCTGTGCCCTGGTGCTTGTTGCAGCCCTGCATTACTGCCCCATTTGCTCTTGGCACGGCACACCCTCCGCTGGCCCATTCTCCCTCGTGGGGTCATGGACTGGCCTGCACTAGAGGTGTCCATTTTTCCCCTGCTAAGTTCCTAGAGAGTGAGAGCTTTTTTTTCCCAGGGCATGTTTTCAGGATTTTTGCACCTGCGGCCAAAGAAACCAGGTCTGATTCCACATTTTCAAGTGCATTTCACATCCCAGAGTGTCCCCTGGTCTGATTTCACCTTGCACTTTGCCGTGCAAGGTGAACGTGCTTTTGTCAAACAGAAGGAATAGGGCATCCTAATAAAAGTATACTTGCATCTTTGCTCTCTGGGAAGATTTACCGTGCATACGAATACATATGCACATGCACACGTGCACACCCTGTGGAACAGCTGAGCATGCACCTCTTTCTCCTGCCCTTCTCTGTGTGCGCCTCCCAGGCTCTCTGGACTCCCCGCTGTCTGACTCGGAGGACGAATGCCCTGAGGACATGCGTCTGCCCACCCAGCTGGGCTCCTACAGCCTGTGTGACAACCGGGCCACTAGCACCACCCCGCCCTGTGCCCGTGGGCCTGCCCAAGCAGTGGTGATTAGCCAGCCTGCGCCTATTGCCAACCAGATCAAGCAGCCAGCAGAGGATTCCAGTTCTGATTCGGTGAGGCTGGGGGTGCAGGGACAGGAGAGCAGCGGGGGGCGGGGCCTGCCCAAGGGGTCTAAAGCTGCGGTCCAAAGGATTGCTTTGCTGGTGGAGGTCAATGGGATTTTGTGCTGGGATAGATCCAGCAAGAAAGGAAGCTGGAACACTGACGTTCCCCATGGAGCGATGAGGGCACCTGGATCCATCCCTGTTTTACACACACTTTTAATACAATTTAAGTGGGGAACTCTCCATTACCACATCTTGGAGCAGTGGAATCTGTTAGATCAAGAGTGGGGAACTGGCCAGGGTTCCCCCAAGGTGCTCCCCACAAACACAGGCCCACACGGGTCTTGGGGTTTCATGACTCATTCATCACAGGCTCCCCTCTGTGGCTCACTCTTTGCCCACCCCGGATGGTTTACTCCAGTCTGGCTCTCTTCCTATGGGCTTCAACTCCCAGCATCCCCAGCCACTGGAGATGCAGCTGGAATGATAGGAATTAGAGCCCAAACCTCTGGAGGGCACCAACTTGGGGAATGCTGATTCCGCTTGGCCACTGCTCTCCAGACTCTTGGGCAAAGCTGTTTCCCGTCCCCTGTCACCAGTGACATGCCACAGAGATGACACCCGAGACCTTTTGCATGCACAGTGGAGACCCCGAGTGAGAACTGGCACAGAGACGGCCACCTGATCTCCAGTCACGGCAGTCTGCCGTGGGGACAGAGGGGAAAGAATGAGCCCCTTTGCCGCACTGCTGAGCTGCATGGAGGCAGCAACAAGATGGCATGCTTGGACCACTTTCTTTCTTTCTTTCTTTCCTTCTTTCCCATATTTAGGAGGCAGAGGATGAGAAGGCTGTTTTGATGGCAGCTGCACAGAGTGGTGGCGAAGAGACCAGCTTGCTCCTTCCAGAACTGAGCAGTGGCTTCTATGAGGTGGCCAGGTGAGGGTGCAGGGCAGTCCAGACCCCCTTTTTGCTGGTGCTGTTTCCTTCAAGGAAGGAAGACTGCAGGTGCTCAGTAGCCAGCACCCTGAGACAGAGCTCTGCATGTGCTGGGATGCCGGAAAAGCATGAATGGTGGGAGCAGAATCTTCCCTTCTAGCAAAGCCAGAATAATAACTTATTTTAAGCCCAGAATAAATTATGCAAATACAGAGGCATATGCATATTGTAGAATTAAATAGGATCACCGCTTTTAACTTCCCTTGGTACGGAATTTGGGCAGCAGCAGGATTTTGAATGGCTTTGGCACAGAGCGCACACAGCCTTGACTCTGGGGATCTGCAGCCAAAGATCTGCCAGGTTATTTCAGTTCTGAAACGGATCCCATCCCACTAGGGCATGAGCACCTCTCTGCTCTGCTTATCCTCTCTCCGGGATTTTTCCTGTCTCTCAGATGCCTCCTGCTGACCTTGCATTCACTTCTCTGGCTGTCAGTGCCAAGCCTGCCACTTCCTTTCACTGCCTGTCTTCTGAGAAGAAGGGCTTTCCTTGGCTGATCTGGAACCTGCTCCCTGAAGCAGCACAAGGTCCCACAGAACTTGTTGGTGGCCCACTTTGCTCAGGATCTTCCAAGCACCAACCCTGTCCTGTCTCTGGCTTGGTGGCCCCATTGACTGTGGCATCACACCCCAGGATGCTTGTGCATCGCCTGCCTTCACAAATACTCTGGATGTTTTGCGTGTGAAGCCCTTGGCAAAGTGCTCATCCCCCAAACACGTCCAATGAGCTAGCCAGGGATCCATTTTATGAGATTTCAAGTACAGAATTCGGGAGCTGAGCAGTCCATCTTACACTGCTTCTCTCTTTTTGTCTCCCTACTTGTACAGTGGACTAACAGGGCGGCAGATGTCGGAGCCAGGGGCCAGTGGGATGGGGGCATCTCCCTTGGACCTGCCCTCGCCAGCATTTTGGAAGGAGTGTCCCGTCTGCCATGAGCGCTTCCCACTGGAGAGTGACAAAGAAGCCATGGATACGCATGTTGATGGGCACTTCTTCTTCAGCACCCACGACCCCTTCGCTTTTGAGTGAGCCCTCCTTTCCCCCATCCCAGACCTCACCACCAAGCCCCCTTGGTTTCCCCCTCCCCATTCACTGGGATCCAGGCTGGGTACCTTCCATCCCTTCCCTAGAGAGCTTGCTAAGATGAAGGCATTATCCTAGCAGAGTAGCTTGATAAGCTAGGTGGTAACAGGAGTCTGCCATCTTGCTGGGACCTCTCTAAGGCAACGCAGTCAGAGCCCACTTGCTTTGGGAGGAACAAGGCAAGTTAAACCCAGACACACAGATGTTAAACTGAGAGTGAGACACCCGTGGCCCTCCAGATGCCGTTGGACCAAAATTCCCATTGTCCTGGACCATTAGCCATCCTGGCTGGGACTAATGGAAGTCAAGTCCAACATCATCCAGAGGGCTTCATGTTTCCCACCCCTGCATTAAACAGAAACTGAGCCTTGGCTCAGAAATCAAGTAAAAGAGTTTTTATTTTCTCTTGACAGGTTGTGTGAGAGGACGCATTCAGACATAAACAGTAATTTTGTAATGCTAAGTGAGTTAAAAGAAAAGAGTCAACAATCCTTGGCAAACCCAAAGGGTTTGTGACTCTTATCTTCTTGCCCCCATGTAAATGGTGCTGTGTACAAAAGCAGGGCTCACAAACAGCGGTTTGCTGGGTGCACCTCATGGTTCAGAGGTGAAGCACCATAAGCTCAGCCAGGGTATGGTGCTCAAAGAGCCCGATTTGTGCAGATGGTTCTTAGTCCTGGTTCTTAGTCCTGTGAGAGTAACCTAAGATGATAAACATGCCCTCACAGGTCTTGACAACATGCTGTAACCAATCCATTCGTAGAAACACTCGCTTCTAGCATTCTAGACTAGCTTTCCCCAAGCTGGTGCCTTCCAGATGTATTGGCTGACAACTGCCATCATCCCCAGTCTTCACTGACTATGCCGGCTGGGAAGCATGAGATTTTCCAGCCAACAGCTAGAATGCATCAGGCGGGGGAAGGCTGCACTGCACTGTTGGATGTTGGGGACAAAGGAGCGAGCCCCAGAACATGTTTGTTGGACAGGGTGCCTGCAGGATTCTAGTCTGAGCAATCCAGTACAAAAAGCCAGACTACCGCTTTGTGTCATACGTGCGCACTTTTGTGCACATGCCCACACACACATTCTGTGTTGGGGTTTCTCACTCAAACTGTGTTGGCTTCAGCCATTGTCTTTCTTGGCAGTATAGAAAATTACATAAGTCAACAATTTTTTTAAGAAATACATTTAAGAATCTTCAGCCTCTCTCCCTTTAGTCAACTGCCAAAGGAAACAATGCTGTGAAACTTGCTAGTTATTGAAAAGAGAAACCCTCATTGCAAAGAAAAAGGATTTTTTTTAAAGCTAGAAGTGGGTTCTGATTGGCATTGGAACAGGAGATACTTGAAAATGAGATGAAAAGGGGCTGCTTGGACATCTGATCTCGCTCCTGCATGCAGTCAGTTTAGGAGTGGATTTCAGGTTCATGTGCTCCCTCCTCCATTTCTCTCACCATTTATGGCCTGGCCAGGAAGCATGAGAACTCAAGGCCTACCGGAGATCTTGCCACTCATACAACTGAAATCAGAACTCTTGTCTGATTAGAGCCAGTGTTGGTGGTACACTGCAGTGACGCTATGTAGCGCAGCCTCTTGGGTAAAGCAGAACTGTGCAGCCACGGTGGTGCACCAGCATGTTGCTCCTATCAGTCTCAGCCAGCATGCCCAAAGGTGAGAGCTGATGGAGGTTGCAGTCCAATAGCACTCTCCATCCCTGATTTAGGGTGTGGGTGAGAGGAAAGGAGAGGCAGTGTTTCCTAGTGGTTAGAGTAGGAATAAGATTGAGGAGATCTGGGTTCAAGACCTCATGTGGCCATGAAGCTCACTAGGTGACTTTGGACCAGTCACTGACTCTCAGCCTGGCCTGCCACACAGTCTTCTTGTGAGGATAAAATGGAGAGGAGGGAAATCATGGAAAGCCCTTAGATTCCTGGAAAAGCGGTGAAGAAAAGGCAGGATACAGATGCAATAGCGCATCAGTACTCAAAAGGGAGGATCAGAACACCTGTCATAATGAAAGCCTCAGACAGAAAAGGCAAGATCTCGGCTGCAGATAGCAGAGTGAGGGCACCCCATGGCGTCATATTCCACAGGCTGAAATCCTAAGCATGGTTACCTGGGAAGGAGTCCCATCGGCTCAGTCAGAGCTGCTTCCCAGTGACACTGACATGCTTAGGCCATGCATGTCAGATCTGTTGATATGGTTTGAAAGATTCATCCTTGAAACACTCCCTTCCCACTGTCTGGTACAACAAAGGCTGTGAAAGAAGGTTGGCATGAAGTGATCGAATAAATTTACCTTGATTACATCTCCCAAGAAGGTCTGCGGCCTTCACAGAGACCTCCAAAGCCATCCCTGCAGCCACCAGCAGACAGTCGTAGCTGGCCACAGTTCTTAAGCCCGTGATGCTTACCTGGAAAAAGAGGTTGGATCGTAGCTAAGAGACAGATGTATCTGTTGCTGGGCTGTACTGTGTCAGGCTATCAGGGTAGGATCCAGTCTGAGTATTCTCCCACAAAGGATGCTTCCCAGCACGATCAAAACTAGCATGACAAGAAGAGGAATTGAGGTTTGAGGTTTGTGTTTTCCCTGCCAAGGAAGTGTTACCACCACCATCCCTGCAGTCTGAAACAACACAACCCCACAGCGGATGCCTCCGGTGGGGCTTCTGTTCATCTAACTTTTAAATTCTGACTGTGCGAGCAGAAGCAGAACAGACAGATGCAAATGAATGGATGTGGGTATTTATTGTTTTAGCTAGAGGCCCTTACTCCAGCAAAACCTCAAAGATTTTATTGCTTGCATTTATATATTATATGGCATTGTGTGTTGTTGTTGTTTTTAATAACTAAAGCAACCAGACTAGCAGACACGTAAATTAGAATAAAGCAGAGGAGAGAATCCAATAAAACCTCCTGCATGTCTCACCACCACCAGGGGACAAAATTATACAAATTTGCAGGCAAGAATTTTTTTGCCTTTCCCTTAAACATGATCAATATCTTTCCTAAACATAGTTGTTACCTTTGCATAAATAGCAAAAAGCTGAGGTTATTTATTCCACAATAATGCAGGTTCCAAAAGATTGCAATGATATCACTTAAAGTTCCTGAAAAATCAGGAGTGCTAGAAGAATCTGTAGTGAAAGGAATAAAAAGAATGAGGAAGGTCATTTTTGGGAGATGTTTTTAGGCTATTAGTGAATCCAGTTCTTAATCAAGGTTGTATTCTGCACCCCTTGGCCCAGAATAAATTAGGCAAATTCTGTAACTTTGCAGAAACAATGAAAGAATTCTGTGTCCATAATAATACAATAGCAGTATGTATAAATATTGGAAGAAATAGTTTGATGAGACTAATTGCAATAAAGAGAGTTCTGTAGAAGTTCTGTTAAATACTAACAGCCCCATAATAAGGTCTAGAAGCACACTTGTGATTTTGATTTTGCATCAACGTGGCAAGGGTGGTGTTAAAATGAAGCTGCGGGATCATGAACCGGGAACTCACATGTGCAGAATACACCATGGTGTGTTTCCAGTTTAGAGATGACTTGCCCCTTGTCTACATGCTCCAGGTCAGGGCTATGGGCACTTGTGTGCACACTGTGGACACAGCACCCCAGAGGCCCCACATGCCGCTTCCAGAATGAATGCAGAAAGCATGTCAGTTATGAGAGCCAGCATGGTGTGATGGCTGGAGCGCCGGACTGGGGAGCTGGGAGACCTGAGTTCTAGTCCCCGCTCAGCCATAGTGCTCACTGGGAGCCACTCCCTCTCAGCCTAACCTACCTCACAGGGCGATTGTTGAGAAGATAACATGGAGTTATGTAAGCTGCATTGATATGAATAGCACTGTTCACATAGCACTGAAGTATGCTTCCAAAAGAAGGGTAGGGAAGTGTAGCACGTATCAAGAGGAGACGCTCTAGACTACTGAGAGGGAGAAGGAGAGAGTTCTGTGGCACCCTAGTAACTAATTTACTGTAGAATGAATTTTCATAGCATGTAGCTCATTTCAGCAAACATTGCACCAAAGCTGTATAGGATCTTTTGGAAGAGGTGAGAAGGTCAGGCAGAGATATTTGGGAGTGGGTGGATTCAGCCGACACAAACCAAAGGGGAGAGAGAAGTTGTGGAGGGCACAGACCTCCCCACCACCACCATTGAGACCCAAAGGTTGCCCTTGCCAGCCCCAAAGAAATTCTTCGCCCCATAGTTGGCATCTTAAAGACTAGAAATAGGGAGAGATTTTTGATTTTTGGTTGCTTTTTAAAACCTGAGGATATATAATGTTGAGCTGGGAACTGCTGTTGTGTAGCATACACAGTGAGCTCAGCCATGATGCGCATTGAATGGGTCTAATTCTAACTTCTCATAGGGAGCAAACCCAGTTCGGTCACTTGGCATATTTGAGCACCAGCAACAGGCCCCTAATGATATATGAACATCACGTGCACACTCACCAGCCTGCACGGATAGGACAAATGCAGGACTGGCAGTGTGCACCCAGCAAATATCCACCTTTACTGCTGTCGGGGTTAGGGGTATTTTCAGTGCAGTGGGGAGCCGCTAGGAGTGGGTTGCCTCATTGCTGATTCAATGGTTATTCCATAGGACCTTCGGCCTCGGCGGACGCAGGAGCTGAATTGCCCTGGATGTGAACCTCAAGATGTGTTTGCACATCCAGTTGCAGCGATAGTCAATGTTAGGGACTAGGAGCCCACTCATTATTTTTTCCTCTGACAGCCTGGCTCCCATTGTTGGGCAATTCCCCGCCAGCCTGTCCACATGTGCAGCATGATCTCGTGGTGCAGCTGGTGGGTCCCAGGTGCAAGTGCTTCCTCCATGAACAGAGCTCCTTGCATGTGCACATGTGTGCACACACGGGAAAGGGAATGGGTTCCTTGCTAGCCTTGCCTCTGATGCACTGGTTGCGATGTGTGCAGACCTGGAGGGAGCCCTTGAACCTGCGATGCCCCTCCTGCAGTGCTCCCTGGCCCAATCCGGGAAAAGCTCCCTTGGCTTGGTTCTGCTGCACCGGTAAAGGGGCCCTGAGAGTCGTGAGAGGCAAGGGCGATTCCTTGCGTGATGACCGATGATCGCAGACTGACACTTTCAAATGATTTGGTGATCACGGCAAGGAAAAGGGGGGAAATGAGATGGTGGCCCTTTACCAGCCATACTTCCTTGAGTAGACTTGGTTCCCCGCCTCACCTGTTTTGTTGTTGTTTTAAAGTAGCCCTTTCTCAGCATGCTCCTGCATCTGTCGCCACCTCCTCAGCTCCCCACCCCACGACCGCAGCCGCTAGCCTCTCCCTTGGACCGCTTCGCCTCGCCTCGTATCTCACATGGGTTGCCACTGTGCTTGGCCGATCATGCTGTTTCCGTTCCCACCCCTACGCCCTGCTGTACAGATCCCTGGCACCCCCACTCTGGATGGAGCTTTGGCCTCGCTTCCAACCAATCCCTTGGTTGCGGCTTGTTCTCTTTTTCTGCCTCTTGGTGTATTTGCTGGGCTCTGAGAGGAGGATGTGAGACCCACCTTCAGCTTAAGCAAGTGTGTGTGTGTGTGTGTGTGGGGAGAGAGAGAGAGAGAGACTGACTCTCTAATGACTGTGCCTTTTGGAGAGGCCGCAACGCCTCTCCTTGCGTGGGAACTTTCCAGCATGTGCCGCCGCAGTTCTGAGTTCACCTTACCTGTCTCTTTATACCCCCCACCCCACGAAACCCCACTTTTACTGAATACACGAGTCAGCAACACAAGCTCAGAGCAATAATCCTCCTTCCACTCCCCAATCCTGACACGCCCCCAAGTCTATGTATAGGGTGTACATATATATATTTATATTTATATTTATATGACATGTTGCAGCTATTCTAATAAAAAGCAGTCTTTCTGCAACAACCTGCCTCCCTGTCTTTTGAATATCTGGGGGTGGGGGGTGATGGCACAAGGCGCCTGCCCGCCATCCCTTCGGCTGCCTTGTCCTGCTCTGCAGTCGGCCTGCTCCGCCTGGCTGCAGGAGCTGAAAGGGACTTCATCTGTTTGTCTGAGCAGGAGAGGCAAGTGGCCGGACCAAAGGCGGTGGGCTGATCTTCAGGTCTACATCTTGCACAACATCCGGGTTTCCAGAAAGGGAAAGCTGTGTTGACATGCAACGGGGGCAAAAGGAGAGCATTTCTTCTCTACGGAATAAGCCCTTTGGCTGTGAAGGGAAAACCGAAGGATTGCATCCTGTTGTTACTGGCCTGCCTGGGCAAACTGGCCAGAGGGAGATCCATTCCCTCGCCTCCTAAAAAACTGAAATGCCACCCTGAAGGCCTCATTACTGGTAGTAAGAGCCCGAGGTGAAATTGTCCTGGCGGTTTGCACCCACCCCTGGAATGTGCCCTGAAGACTTTTCCAAAATAGGAGTGGGGCTGGAATTGGTTCGAGACCCTGCCCTACATTCTGAAGGGAAAGGGGAAAGGTCCCTTTGCCAGCTAATAGATAGTGAAAATCATGTGGGCTGCTCTTCTCCCCATCTCCAAAGGGGATGCCATTACTGCATATCCCAACCAAGCAAAGAGAATGAACATCATGGGGTGAAGGTGAGCTTGTACCAAAGGAAGCAGTCCCATTCCACAGCTATGAGGCGCCCCTCCAAAACACCCGTGAGCTATTAGTAACTTTCTCAAGAAAGAAGGTCCAAATTTGGGGCTGCGTTCCGGGCTGAGACCCCCTGGCTTCCTCACCGTGCATCTGATGAAAGTACTTCCTGCCAAACAGGAGGGCCGCTGAGCTTGTAGCTGAGCATGTGCAGTCGGTCCTGCCGTTACATCCCCTTAGTCCGCATCCACTCCACACCCAGAAAATCGACGTACGGCGGATTCTTGACATAGGGAAGGATTGCCCTACAATCAGAACTGGCATTGTTGGGTGCCTGCCACAGCCCCCAACTCATCTGGAGGCCCACTGCTGACCCCCACCCCGCAAGCCCTCTGCTCTGCCCTTCTGTTGTGTTTGCTGCCTGCAGTCTTCAGGTGCTTGAGCAGAAGCAACAGCGAAAGCAAGCCTCCATTTGCTCTGCCCCGCCTGGGCCGCACTGTGGGCTGGGCTCACAGAGAGAAGGCAAGCTAGGGTGATGCGGACACGCGAGGGCACCGCCTTGCGGTTGGTGGGGCAGCACGGAGGGACTCTTGCCCAAGGAAGGGCTTCCCAAGATCTGGAGCCAACGTGTGCCTCAAGCCCTGGTCCCGCTCCTTCCGCTGTTCAAAAGCAGCAGTTTGGCTAAGCTGCACGACTATCCCAGCAGCCCTGGCCAGCATGGCTCACCTTTGAGAACGATGGCAGTTCTCATGCAAACTACCTGGAGGGCTCCAGGCTGGGAAAGGCTTTCAGTAAGCCTGTTACTAATTTAGATGTGGGTTTATTTTAACCGTCTGTTGTGCTGCTTATATTTGTAAGCACCATGTGAGGTTTTACCCTGAGACACATGCCAGAGGTGCATTTAGTAGGAGTAGACAGGTTTAGGAACCTTGCTAGCATATTGGCTTTGGCCAACTTTGCCACGCCATCCCTTCATCTCAGAAATAAACAGTGGCATTGAGTCCCATCGTCTCAACTGGCACATGGGGCAAGGAAGTCACCTGAACAATTGCACTGCTGCCAGTGGTCACACGTGCTTCTTTCAGCCTCCAGGTCCCCCCGTTCTTTCACGCCCCGTCCCATCCCATGGAACCACCCCAGCAAGCCCAAACCCAAGCTGGGGAAGCCAGCGTGCCTGGGAAGGAGAGAATCGCTCTCCCTGTTCCAGCACTAGAGCAGATAACGACAAAATCAATTTTTATCACCCTTGGCTTTTATGGACCCTTTAAAATATAACAGCAAATCATTGAGGAATTCATTATTCCCCCCCTTCTCTCTTTCTCTCCCAGTGTGTGTATGTCTCGGGTGTCTGTGTGTGTAATTTTATTTAATTAGAAATGTAAAATACAAAAGACCTGCAGGCAGGTGAAGATGGACAGGCGGAGCAGTGCTGAGTGATGGCCCAACGAGGCCGGATTTACGGCTGTACGGATGGAGGCTTTGCCCTTGTATAGCCAATAGTAATGGAGTGTTGCAATCCAAGTCTTAAGCGCAATGGGTGACCTGGGATCTATAGATCATTAATACAACCTGACGCACGGCTGCTGCAATTATCCAGGGTGAATAAGATGGAAACGCAGCAGAGCGGGAGGGGCACTCGGCTTAAAAGAGACCAGGTGCTGAACTATAGAGGGTTCAAGCAGGGGATGGTGGGCCTGGCTCAGTGCTGCTGGGCTAAGGTGGTGAGATAAGGAACAAGGGGATGCATGAAAGCATTGGGTGCACCAGATTAAAACAAAATCTTGTGCAAGCAAATGGCAGTGACTTCCATGCGGGGAAGCTCAGCCTAGCCTGCCTCTTAGCTATCCCTGTTCCTCTGCTTCGTCAGGGAATCAGCACCATGGTTTGAAAAATAAATCAGCTCCAAATTTTCTTGTCAAGCTCCACTTAGACCCTCCTCTGTTTCTATCTTCTTGGCTGGGTCTACCCCCACTGCAGACCCCAACGCACACACACGCACCTTTGGGGACTAGGATGGGTGAAATCAAACCAGCCCCTTACAGGATTTTCTTTAGGGTGGCCACTCATGAATCTGCAGAACAGAGGACTGATTTCCCTAAGATTTGCATGCACTGATTTCTGTACACAGATGCAAATTCAGGAATGATGTTTCCGGTTCAAATAGACATACAAACAGTGTATCTCACCAGCTATGGAAGCCCTGAGAACAGGAGACTGACTTTAACCAGGTTGATCAACCAGGTACCAACGGGTGGCAACGAGCAAAGATTCTTCTGGTTCCCTCTCTCTAACTTGGTGTTAGGACAGCCCTTCCAACAATAGACGTGCCCCTGTAAAAGAGGGTCCCTGGCCACCTTATGCTTTCATAGTTCCTCTCTTGTATACCAGTGTCTGCCCTGCACTTTGCTCTCTGGGAAAGACCCTGGAGAGCAACAGGTCCCTTTTAAAATGTGCTGTCCAAATGAAACACCAGAAGAAGCTGCTAGATGTGCTACTGCCCTTACACTGATGTCAGTGTGTTTTATCTTGAAATGCCCATGATTCGGGCAGGCATCTCTCTTAATACTCACTTGCAGGCATGAGCAATCTGCAGGGTCAAATGTTGTCTGACACCAGCTCCCATGAGCCCCGGCCATCATAGCCAGTGGTCAGGACTGATGGAAGTTGTACTCTAACAATGCCTGGATGGCTACAGGTTTCCATTCTTGTGCCAGCAAAGAAGCCGCTGGAGTGGCATTGCTCAGTGGCCTGGTGTCCTATTTTACAGAGGACAGTCCTCTATGTGAAGATATCCCATATATGAAGCGTTCACTCGTGCAAGTCTGGTTTAGAGACAGAAAGAACCTAAGAAAGGAGAGCAGGCCTTGATGCTGCCCAGCCACAGTGAACACCAGGGCAGCAGACCCAGCTCATGTGGTCACAGCCTTCCCCACAGGGGTCTTTTTTGCAAATATAGCAATTTCTTCTAAAGGAGCACCTATATTTATACATTAGCCAATGCAATTTTTGTGCTACTTTATGTCATTCTGGTGTTGCATTTTCTCTTTTCTGGCGATCTGCAAATGGCCACCCTGCTGCATGGTCATCTCCCATTTTTGTGAGGACATGGCTGCAGGAGGTGAATCCGGACCCACACTCCCCGCTTTGTGGGAAGTCGAAGAGTGGGATCCCAGCTTTTTTTAAAGGGCTACTCAGAAAAACAAGCCTGCCTGACCAGTTGAACTGCAGAACCTTTTGTGGCAAGAATTCAATAAAGATATCTATATGTAATGTGTATGAAAATAAACAACAGAAACATAGCTTAATAATAATGTAGCACTGGGTAAATTTGCTGGGTGAGATAAGGCGTTTAGGTGCCACAAAGTCTATTGATTTCAGGCACACTTAGCACCAATGTTGGATTGTGGCCACATACTCATACTCTGTAAAAACAGAGTAACAGCCGTATCAGTAAGAGAAATAGCAGCCTTAACTTCTTGTGTTAACTTCCAAGGCAACAGATATACATTTTCTGTGGTCTTTCGATTGCTCGAAGACTGATATTACAATATTGGCGGGTCAATCATGCACCTCCAAACTGCAACAGATTGAGGACTGAACAATACTTTCAATTTTTGACCAGGTGGCTTTTAGGTACAACACACCAATGGATAAATGCATGGATATTTGGTCTCTCTTTGTTGATAATACTATATGTACAATTATGCTTATAGATAGAATTATATCTTGTTTTATATAAAATATAAATGACACATGTCTCAGTTGTAATTGATCTTCTGCTTCTTTATTGTCAGGGTTCAGAGGGTGAGATGTGAGAATCAAGAGTCCCTTGACTCAAGGCATTGATAAACTTACAGTGTAATCCTATCCATATCTGCTCAAATGTGAGTCTCACTGAATGTAATAGGATTATTCCCAGTTGTGGAAGTATAAGAAGGCGGCCTTAAGCAAACTGCTTTTCTCCCGTCTTCTGTAAGATCCCAAATCTATAACGGCTAACTTCGTAGCAGTGTTTGAAAGGATTCTTGAGATAATGTTTATAACATTGTTTGAATGTTCAAAAAAAGTGTGTGTGTGTGTGTGTGTGTGGTGTGTATCTATTTGCTGCATTTCAATATTGCCTTTCTGGAACCAACTAAGGTGGTTTTCCAAAATTCAGAAAGCAAGCATCAGAAACAAAGAGTTAATAATGTTTGTTCTGCACCTCTGATAAATACACACATTTGCAGCTTACTAGCAGATCTAATTGTTAGCAGCAAGGGAGTCAGCTGAAACTGACATATAAGAAATAAGTCCTGGGATCAGAAAATATC